AGAATCATTGATCGGCTGCCTCCTGCACGCCCCCAACTGGGGATGGAGTAGGCTACACAAACATGTGCCCTTGACCGGAATCGAACCCGGGACCCTTCAGTTGCAGGCCGACGCTCTATCCACTGAGTCAAACCGACTAAGGCTTAATTGGGATTTTTCAAGTTCTTAGAACATTTTAAGCATCTTTGTCCATCTGGCTGCTGGGAAATGCCCAGACTGGATCCCTGAACCACAGAGCCCCTGCCCCCCACAGCTGTGGGGGGGCCTCTCCCGCTGCAGGCTTCTCCCAGGGCCCCGCCTGGGACACGGGCTGGGCCTGCTGCCTTTGGAGGGCTCCACCTCATGACCTCCTCACCTCCACAGGCCCGGCCTCCTCCTGCCATCACCTTGGGGGGCAGGGTCTAGGCAGGTGGATTTTGGGGGGACACAGCCACACCCCGGCAGCTTTGCAGACGTGAATAGCAAGGTTTCTCCGAGTTTCCCAGGAGTTTTCTGGGAGTTTCTGGGAGGGCCGGCAGAGGAACCCGCTGTGGGAGCCACCCGGGCGCACAGGCATGTGCGGGCCTGAGCAGGGCGGTCGGCGCGCTCCCGGGTTAGTGCTTTCACACTGCGAGCGCGTCCAGCACAGGAGCGCTTGTGCCCAGGGCGCCGGCCGGCTGCGTGCTGGACACCCATCCCCATTTGGTGGTGTTTGTGGGTTGTTTTTTATTTGTTTGCTTGTTTTGTGAATCCTCATCCGGGGATATTTTTTCCATTGATTTTGAGAGAGAGCGGAAGGGGGAGAGGGAGGAGGACGAGGAGGAAGGAGGAGACAGACAGACATCAAGTGGTTGCCTCCCGCACGTGCCCGACCAGGGCGGGGGTTGAACCTGCCGCTCAGATACACACCATTGACCGGGAATCGAACCCTTGACCCTGCGGTGCCCAGGCCGGGGCCGTGGGTTTTATGTCAGTTCAGTGCAGGTCCCCACATGTGTGGGTGTGTGTGTTTCTATCAGGCGTGCAAGGTTGTGTGAAGGTTATCATTTATATCGGCACATCAATTAAATGTTAAGTCATCATTAAAGAGCCTAGTTTTTACGTTAGTGAAAGAGCGCACTGGAGAATTTACTGTGGGAGGTGAAGACTCCCTCTCCTCGCTGCCCAGGTCCTGCTCTGGTGAGTAACTCCCACTGTCAGCATTGCCGTTCAGTGTTCAGATGGACATGTTAAAGGACCGAAGGTGGAGGTTTTTCAGGTGGGAAACGATGGAAGATGCCGCGTGAAGGCTCCGAATGGGTATAAGTTCGGCCGTGAGACGTGGCCGAGCGAGAGCAGCTCCCTGTTGTCGCCCCTGAGGCGTCGGCTCTTGCTGCGTTCAAGGTCAGAGGGCGCGAGGCTCCCAGAGATGGCCCGTCCTGGGACCCCTGGATGGAGAAAGGTTAACTCAGGTCACTGGGGAGACTCCTGGGAGTGCATCCTGTGAGGCTGACTTGACCTCCTGCCCTTACAGGGTGTGGGTGGGAACCCGGCCCTGTGCCTACGAGGTCAGGGGACGGGGTGGGCCATCCACCGGGACTCCCCTCCCGCCTTGCTCGGGCTCAGGACTCAATAGACACTTCACTGCTGCCTCCAGGGCTCCACGGGAGAAAGAGCCCCGGTCGGTTTGCTCAGTGGTTAGAGCATCGGCCTGCGGACTGAAGGGTCCTGGGTTTGATTCTGGTCAGGGCACAGGCCCAAGTTGTGGGCTTGATCCCCAGTGGGGGGTGTGCAGGAGGCAGCCGACCCATGATTCTCTCTCATCACTGATGTTTCTTTCTCTCTAAAATCAATAAAAATATATATATTTTTAAAAAATAGGGGAAAGAAAACCAGAGAGAAAAAGGACTCAGCGGCTGCAGCAGGTGGAGGGGACCCGGGGAGCCGAGGGCGGGCAGGGCCAGCCGCTCCCTGAGGCCTCCACAGGCTCACAGCCCGAGGGTACCTGGCAGCGGAGGGCAGGCAGCGGGCACTGCCCAGGCCTCACCCCCCGGCCGGGCAGCCTGGTTTTGCTGCCTGGAACCTGTTCAAACAGCCGGTGGCCGGGCGTTGGCAAAGAGCCCTTTGTGCCTCTGAGGCGGCTGCCGCCCGCCCGCCCTCGGGGACCAGGCCAGGCTGCCCAGCCATCGTCTGCTGACGCATTAAAAATGCAGAGGCACCCGAGCCGGGAAGCTGAGCCGCCCGTGTCAGTGTTTCTCCTGCAAACACGGGGACACTTTCCACGTCAGATTCTCCTGTTTCCTCACGTTTTGCTCATTTGTCTGCTTGGCCTTTTCTGTTGTTTCGTGTTGAGGAGATAGGATTTTCATCATTACGTTTGGCTGTTGCTTTGCCAACTTCATAAAGAGCCATAGTGTTTGTGATTGAAAGAAGCAGCGCCCTCCGCCCCCTGCCCCCCGCGATTCTGCTGGGAAGTTATCCTGGGGCCATGGCTTCCCTGACCCGGCTCTCCTCCCCGTCAGCAGGAGCGGCTGGGGGTGACAGTCGGTGGTTCTGGGTTAAAAGAGAGGATGGGGACCTTGTGGAGCAGGTGACCGGAGAGCCAGTAACCAGCGAGCAATTGGCGGCGTGGTTAGCCGGTGCCCAGTGCGGTGCCGTCGGGGAGCGGTCCGTGCTGCGCACGTGGGATGCACAGCGTCGCTTTAGCGGCCGGTCCCCCACGAGGAGCAGCCGGACAGACAGGACCCTGCCCCGCCCGGGAGGGGCCTGCGGAGCCCTCCCTCC